GTCTGAATATCCTGACACTCGGCACTCACGAGTGCAACTATTTGTTGATTTTTAAGAGGAGAATTTTCGGTGTTAAAACATAATTAAATCAGAAAAGTAGTTAAAAATGCTTTTTCATTTAAAGCAGACGGACTGTTTCATTTCTGCAAATGGTTTAGTTCAAGTTGTCAAGATGTTTAAAAAACTGAGATCAGGTTAATGTTATTGAGTAAACGATTCATAAAAATTATGTGAAGGGGGGAAGAGAGGAAACTGCCACTTTCACCGCGCTTGGATGCCAGCCCTAAAATAAGCTTCTTGAAACAGTTCATCAAAGGAATTTCAATGACAAAGCCAACCTTTATCCCTTCACAGAGGACTTCAAGCCTCTTTTTATAGCACAGAGATTACTATATTTGGCCAAACCTAGATAACATTAAAGCTATTATCACCGCTGAGAGACGCTATAAATAGCAGTAGTAATGTAAAACATTTAAAATTCTGCCTGGGAAGCATGACAGATAAACAATATTATCTATGCGTATTTTCGGGTTTGTCTGTCAGACACAATCTCATTCATGATAACGTGAACCGATTAAGTTACATAATTCACCTTGTTGTTTACCCAAAATTACTTGCATAGTCTCGGGAACTCCTTTCCTGACTGCATTTGACAATAGACTTTATATTTAACTCACACATATGTGGGAAAGGTCAAATCACACTCTGAGATCCTGAATTTGTCGAAGTTAATTCTCATTCAATAAATCAGGATGGGAAACAGTTTTGTTCTCTGTTAAAAGGTCCTGTTCCTTTGCATCAAAAAAGATGGTATTAACCCCAAACCTCTTCAATCTTAGTTTCGTCATCACCCTAAATTCTTCAGAAGAACATAAACCTGAAACAAATTTTCCTGCCAAAAAATGACAGGAAATTATATTTTCATTGTGGATAAATTAGTCTCTGAACTTAACTTTCCATAACAATAAGCAGGAGATTATGAACTCATTCACAGGAAGTCCTGATAAGGCTCTAAAAAGATTTGCTTTTACCCATTCAGGTCAGAAAGACCACTGTATTTTGCATAAAAACATCATCTTTCCCCAGAGAGACAGCCCACCCTCTAAGAGCAGTGTAACACAGTAAAAAATATCATGGCATAGTAATAATATAACTGCCTCTTATTAAAGGATCATGGCTGTGTTTTACAGACCTACTACTGGCACCTGAGGAAGACGTCTTTTCTACACAGGTTTTAAATTGACTTCTTTTTTCTTAATAAAAAAGTGTGTAACCATTTCTAAAAAGAAAAAAAGAAGCATGTAATCTAGTATCTAAAACTAAGCATATCACAGAAGAACTGATCATGTAAAGACTCCTAATTTTAAAACAGAACCACACACACAGAGTAAATTCACATGATTTTAGAATAACATTTTCTGCTGGTAGAGTGGTTTGGGTTTGTTTTTTAATTAAAATTAGAGGTGGTCCCAAAAGCCCAGACCCAATCATCCCTGAAAATTAAAATATTTAATCTTGTCTGGAAGAGAATTTAGTAAACCACTTCTCCCACACAAAATGTCAAGCCAGGCTAAATGGACGAGGATGTGCTCCTTTGCCTCCTGAGTTCAAAGGGCCAAAGTTAAACCTGGCTGGATTGAAAACTCCAGTGTCAGTGAGGCTCATTATTTCCCTGTTTACTGTGAAACTGGTGAGCAACCTCACACTGAAGATCCACTAAAAATAAAGATCTTGGGCTCCAGGCATTACGATGGCAATCGAACTTTTAAATCAACAGCTAATGAAAATTCCCATCCATTATACTTTCATTTATAATCTACCTTTTAAACTAATCTGGGAGAGTGGGAAATGAGAATTGCTGGATGCAGCTGATGGAGGAGGGAAACCCACACTTCTGTTCAGACACACAGACCTTCCCACTTCTACGAACTGTGGAGGAAATGCTCCTGCTCATAAATCATCAACAGGAAGCCAGATTCAATGGCTGGGCACAGCACCCTTGCACCGACTTCACATACTTCTCAATTGCCTTGACACAATAACCTTTAGCTCATAAAAAGTTAGATCTTATGACATTTTTAAACGGTGACAGAAACAAAACAAAATTGCTTGGAGCGTTCTCATCTCAAAAGCCTCCCCTTGAGCATTTCCCCAAGAAAAATAAAGAGCATGCTTGCTTTTATTCAGCCAGTTCATGAATCCACATCATTGAGATGCTCCCCCCCACCACCAGTGTGTTGGTGTGTGCACGTAAATGCTTCAAAATGATCTGCAGTCATTCCCACTAGAGGTGGTTTCAGTGCACCCAGGCAAGAGCAAAGGCTCCATGCTGAACTCCTAGTGTGAAATGAGTCACTTGTTCCAAATCATGTTTCCTTTTTTCAATATTCAAACTTAGTTATTCATTTCCCTAAAGTACATCAAGATGAGTTGTTCCTAAGTTACCTTCTATTTGCTCTCAGCACATATACTATTTTATTCCTATTTCTTATCTCCCTTTTCCAGCCTTTTCCCGATCTCAGTGGGCTTTGATTTAGGGCCTCGTAGGCACAGACAACAAAGTTCATACTTTGAGGAAGACAGCATTTAAGTTCTTTTGAGATCTTTTGAGACCTCAGCCTCCCTTTGCACTGGAGACAGTCTGCGCCTGCAAGGGCTCGATTCTTAAACACTCATTACCATGAGTAACAAAGTTAAAATTACTTTTAGTCTATAATGTTCATATTATTCAATAAATATGCAAGATGTGAAAATTAAATGTTTGCAAGCTTCCTGTTAGCAACGCATCAGGACAGTCCAAAGAACTGACTAGTGCATATATTCATTTATGTATACATGTTTTGCCTTTTATGTTACTTTACAGTCATAACTGAAACAACTGTTTCCTCTTTCTATACTCTGGGTCGTGAATCATTTTTTGCTGTATCTTTTGAGATCTCCATGTCTCCATACCAGCCGCTATCTTAGGGCTATTTTTTCCAATCATAATCGTTCCATCATATTCCCCTCTCCCTTTAAAAGCGTTCATTTGAAAATTCAGTCTATTGTTTATTTAGTTTTTGTTTATTTAGTGATACAGTTAAAATTTCAAATAAGTATGATCCTAAAGTGATAATCACTTTTACTAAGACTTGACTGTACTGAACAACTTTCAAACCTGCAAATAATGACATATGGAAATTGATGTAAAAGACTATAATACCATACTGACTAGTCTCATGTCATATCTAACGAATTGCTTTCAGTTTGAATGTCAAGCTGACCTTTGAGTACTGGAAAAAAGCAATTTCTCTATTAAGAAAATTCACAAATGGCATCTATCACAAGAAATTTATTCACCTTCTTGAACAAGCTCAGTGCCATTAAGGAAAAAATAAAAAACCTAATCTAATAGACACAAAACCTAATCTAATCTACTGCAGCACACACTCTGCTGAGGATACTCTGGATGGCCTCTTCCCCTCACCTTCATCACCGTACATATATTTTTTATTTTTCACCACTGAACAATTATTGTCTTTGATATATGATGTTTTTGCCTTCAGTATTGGTAATGGATCTTAGACACAAAACCTAATCTAATCTACTGCAGCACACACTCTGCTGAGGACACTCTGGATGGCCTCTTCCCCTCACCTTCATCACCGTACATATATTTTTTATTTTTCACCACTGAACAATTATTGTCTTTGATATATGATGTTTTTGCCTTCAGTATTGGTAATGGATCTTTATCTGTTTACTGAGTCACAACCAAAAATATGAAGGGCTGAACTGAAGTCCATGCAAGCCAGCGCACAGGCTTGCCCTGATTTCAGTGAGTTTTATAGCAGACTCTACATTCAACAGTGAGTAACCTCCTCCCAATTTTCTGCTTGTGCATTACTTCTCTCCACCACCCTCAATGCTAAGGAAATGTCTTCAAATGCTTCAGAATTTCGTGTGGATTTCACCGCATCATCTATTGGAGATCATGCAGGGCACAGTAAGAAATGTGATGTAAGATGTAAGAAATTCACTTTTGTTTGTTGAGCGCCAAGTTATCAGAATATATAATTCACCAACATACTTAAAGCTATGTAAGAGAGAAGGCTACGCGAGCAGTTTACAGGAAAACCTCTTGTTGGAAAGGGAGATGGAGAAGGGAAGAAGGGAGGCCTCTGTCCCCAGTCCCTGTGTCTCAGTAGAAGTATTTATAGACTGACAGAGCGGTTACAAAGTTCCAGGACCTGGCTTAGCAGAGACATAAGTGATCCCCAAAGAGGTCAGGTACAACAGCAGAGGTAAAATGCATCAAGATTAAGTTAAACTTAACTTTGTAACTGGAGCCCATAAAGATATCAAGCAACAAAAGTACTGCTTTATTGCCTCTTCCCTGGGAAGTGGACAGTGGGAACCTGGACTACCCCACCAACATGGACTGGGGTTGATTTTGCATGACTTGCTGGAGTTTGGCTATCAATTTCTTCTGCACATCCAGGTAGACCAAGGAGCACCGCATCGGCGGGTGCCTGAGCAGGCACCAAGGCCTGTCACTAATGGACATCCTGCTTGTAATTCCAAACTGGCAGAGACCCCTTCAGGTGATCTTAACCTCAGCTGGGCTCTGCAGTTCACCCCATAGAAAGCATTGCCAGTCTTCAACTTGCATCCCATCATGGCTTATCAGAAGGGTGATTGTAACTGTCAAAAAATAACCAGACCCAAATATACCACCTTCTCAAAACTACCAAGACTCACTCTAGGAAAGGAAGAAAAAAGGAAAAAATCTAAGGAAAGAGATCAGTCAAAGTTGCCTCTCAAAGGCAGATATTGCAGGAATGTGGCAATCCTCCTCCCATTCTATAAACAAACTTTCAAAAGTCAACTGGTGACACTTTAGAGTCTTTACACTTATTTTGGATTATGTGTCGCTCTCATCTTCGTCCCTGCGTGTTAAATGCCAAGCACTGGGAGGGTCCCTGCTCCCCAGCAGCTGGGAGATGGGCTGCTGTTCTTACCTGACATTGTCATGCTTCTGGATGTAGATCTTATGAAACATCATATCTTCCTGTTTGGCATTAATGTCAGCTTTCATCTCCATGGCAACATGTCGAGGAAGTACAGAGAGCAGGAGACGCTCCTGTGGAGTCAGACAGATGAACCAATTAAAACACCTGCTGCCCAGTTAACAAACACACTTTGCTCCTTACTGGGGAGAAATGAGTCATCAGTTTGGTGAGAGATGAGTACAACCAAGGGAAACGGTCTCCATAAACCCAGTAGCCGATCCCCTAACAAGTCATATGCAATTCTGTCCCAACCCCACAATAAGAATTCAATGATTTTAGAAGAAAAATCACGATTTTTTTTCATCCCAGCTGCACTGGGCTTGTGATTCATGGTTGCCAATTCTTGCATATGAAGGAGCCATGTAACTCAAAAAGTGCCCGTGCACCATTCTTGGAAGGACTTGGATAAACGATACTGTCTGACCTCCCACAGCCTCTCCACACCACCATGAAGTCCTCCTTCACCTAACACCAGAGGACTGATACCCTTGGGCACCATTTAAAATTCCTTCCTTTCCTATCTAATCATCTAAGCACATTCCCCAACAGGCACAAACCTGTTCTTAGCAGCTAAAAAGTCAATAGGAATGCCCCGATAAAACTAGGATGAAAAGTTAGCCCAACTATACAAAGCAGTATTATACTTCTACACTTAAAACCGCTATTAGTGCCCAATTACATTAAGACCTGTAAACCCACCCACTCACCTACCAGAGTATTTTCAATAACCACCTCTATCATCAAGAATTCTCGGCTCTCCACCCTCACCTGGTACTTTACCGATATTATTATTTACCGGTAATGGCTTTAGTGTAACTGTCATAACATTATTTTATAAGCTCTTGCGTATATAGATTTGCATGCTAGGCAAAAATTAGTTACATGACAAACTGATGACTTTCTGGTAATTTTGCTAAAAACTCACACAAAAGCCTGTGCTTGTTATTATTCTAAATTTGGTGGCAATTTCATGCAGAGGCTATAGAATTTAAATCTGCAGGTAATACGTCCCCCAGGGATGCATTTGTGTTTTTCAGGAATCACACCTGAGAAATTCTGCCCAGACCTTCATTTCATTCCCCCTCACACCCCTTCCAGTTCAAAAGAAGTTTTTGCTATGGCTGAAGAAGGTGGGGACCACCTCCTTTGGGATCAGCTCCACTGAGGTCCAACCTACAGGCAGTGCTCTGGAATATGAAGAACCCCCAAAGCTTGTGCCGCTCTCATCTTTATTATTTTTCTTTCCCTGCAGTGAGCAGAGGGAAGAAAAGGGCCTTCCTTCCTGATGACACAGACACAATGTGGCATAAACGAAGGTCCCTAACCTTATCTAACAGCTCATTAATTCTCAACAGCACAGGGAACAGTAGGGCTCAGACGCAGTCCTGACTCAGAGGGGTCAGCAATCCTGTACTAATTACTCACGTCACCAAACCTCTTGTCCACACCACTGTTATAGACACATTCCTGGTTTCTAATTCCTAGTTTTAACTGAAACTTCCCCATTTATTTCTTCCTCTAAGGAGAGAAGGGAACTTTGGGGGAACCAGAGGAAGATGAATTCACTGGAAACATGCTCAGCATGCACCGAGACATTTTATAGTCTGCGGCACTGCCCAGTATTTCCTTTCTTTTCCCCTTCAATGTGTAACTTAAAGAGATTGATTCTTGCCTCTGGTCCCTGAAGAGGTAGTAATAACACAGAAAAAGATGTGTTGGAGGGATTTCTATCTGCTCTGCTCAAAACTGCAGCAGTCCTGACAAGATACTTGTTTTTTAAAGTACTCTCACCTTCACCGGCATACTGCAGGTGCTAACGGTTACATATCCAAATTGTTTTTTAAAAAAGATCGTGAATCATGCAGATGTCCTCAGGCTTCTGCCAGCTATTAGCATACTCCTTGAGTGCAAAAGCACAACACATTTGTATGCTTTCCAGAGTAACTGGTGTATACGCTGTTGTCATTTGCATATTATAACAGGCATCCTTAAATGTGTGAAAGCTGCTATTTTACATGTGATTTTACTTGGAGCATTCGGGGCACCCACAAGTTTGGAACACTCCCTGTAGGCACACGAGCATGGAGGGATGCTTTTTTTTACTTGCTTGCAAAACAGGGACACGTTCAGGGCACTGAGTTTCTCTTACTAGTAACTCCTAGAGACTCTCACGTATATTTCTGGGTAAATTTTGCTTGAGAGCCCCCACCCCTACTCTTCCTGACACCGTGGACACTTGCCAGATTAAATCACCGATATTTTCAAGACACTTGAGATCTCTGGGAGATGTACTAACACCACTCTAAACTATCACCAATCAGGGAGTAAAATAGATGTACCGTGTGAAACAAATGCATGTAGCACAACATCCCTTCATGCAGCAACTAATTAGGAAGTTGAGCCATGTTACAGAGTTGGGCATTATCTTTATTCTGTTTGTTGGGAGCATTATGATCACTGAAAATAACCTCTGAAGCTAACAGGAGGAGGCTGTAACAAGTGCCTTTGTAAAGCACAAGCCATGTTAAAAGAGCTTCAAAACAACAAAATCCCTACGTTTTATTTCCAATGGAGCACCAAAATTAAAGTCTCCACTAGAGTACAATTTTCATTTTGCTATAATGACTAGAAAGTACTGCAGCCCTCAGAGTAAAATCACTTATTATGCACCAGCGAGGTGACTGGGACTGCTGTTTTACAAGTATAACAAGGCAGCAGCCTGACCTGATAAAAAAAGCAAGAGCAAATTCATATATAATTCTCACTTCAAAATAAGATGCAAGTATAGTTCCACTGAATTATACATTAAACAAATGCATCCTGAGGAGCCCTAGTCTCTAGAATAGGCATAGATGAAAGAGTACAATGCAGATCTACTCTGTTTACATATGTACACATAGATATAGATATACGTAGGCACACACATCCCTACGATGACTCTGTACTATATAGGAATTTTAACTATTTATGTCATACTCTCCCAAGATGACCTCAAAGCACTACAAATATTTAATGTCTTACGACTATCTATTTGTCCTCAGGTTTAAGAACACTTATTTTTCACCACAAGTTAAGTGATGCAGAGATGAAAAAGAGAAGGAGAGAATGACTTTCCAGAGCAAAAGACAAACAATGCTAGAAGTAAAACTGGGCAGTCCTGATAACCCATCTCTTACTCAAATCCTAAGTATTTGCTCACTACAGATTGTGGAGAGCACCTATTTTTTCATCCAAGAGTATTTTATTCTGGGCAAGCAACAATGATTCCTGTTATGACTCTGCCCTAGGTTATCTCAAACAATGAAATCACAAGAAGTGTCTCTTCTGCATTTGACATTTTGGATTTTTATTTACTTTCTTGCTAATTTTGGGTGCTGGTAGATACTTAATAGAGGAAGATACACATTCCTTTGCTGGAGATAATCTGCCTACCCTTAATAAAGAATGGCACACAGGAGCACCATCAGACCTCCAGAAACGGGCAAGCAATGATAGCAGCGTTGGGCTGTGCAGCTGTTTTTCCCTCCACCCCTCTTTGGAGACTGGCCCTCCCAGATGTGGGCTGAGCTGCCCTTATTTGTGTCTGTTGCCACCTCAAGATTATCTGAATGCATTATGCATAGGGATCATCCAAACTGAACCTGGAGATCAATGTCAGTGCAGGCTGTAGCAGCAAATAATCTCATTAGGAGTCCCCAGCTGCCAGGACCCACAATTACTGCTGGAAATACTGGAGGGTACTTCTAAGTGATTGGCTTTGACCCACATTTTTCTGATGTCCTGGCTTTCTTCTGTATGGTATAGTACTTTCTGGGGAGAGGGAGAAGAAAAAGGCATAAAGCTAGGGCATTTGCCAGGCCTTTTTTCATGAACGCCTTCTGACGCAGAAGCTCCCAAATCCAGAACAGCACAAGCATTTGAGCCATGCTGCTAAAGCAGTCTCTCAGCGGGGAGGACAGAGCTGTAATCAGTGTGTAAAATGGGGTACTCTCTTGGCTCAGTCCTTTCCTCCATTTCAAGGTGTGGAAGGAGGGGAGGCTGCTTGTTTCATCTTTCCGAGACTACATTCGTTACAAAGGAAAAAGGAGCCTTGAGCTTGAATCTCGTTTTCATACATATACTATCAAAATCAAGCCTGTGTGTACATGTTATTTCACAGTAAGGGTTAAACAACAAGTATGTCAGCCTGAAGTACCTTATGAAACACTGCCAAAAGACAAATCCATAGATGCAGATGGGCTGAGACACGAGGGAAAATTAAGCTGTGTTGCCACAGAGATGCAAAGACACTCCAGTTGATTCATTCCCCTGACCTCTTCCCCAAACCCACAACGAAGCTCTGAGATATCTCCCAAGGGAAGAGTGGAAGCCCCATTTCATGATTAATTTCAAATTGGACTGGACAGACCACTATGAGATGTACTGCAGGGCAGAGATGTGTGTTAGCAAGGGAATAGCCAAGCTGCCCCAAAAGGTCTTTTGTATCTAATTCTGAGGACACAAGAGATTTGTTTCAAGAGAACCCACAAATGAATTAGGGGAGTGGATACATTCGATACCCTTGACTGTAAGCTGCCTGTATTCTAGCAGTAACAGGTCTTTGTATAGCAAAAACCCATCAAAGTTGGTGATGAATCTTACTTTTTGAACAAATACAATTCACTTGAGTCCTATAAGGTATACAGAGGTGTGCAAGCAGGTAGGTACCTTTGGGAAAGGCAGGAAGAGGACCCGCTTTGGAGGTATCAAGGGACAGTGTGTTTTGTGGATCAATTTTTACCTTTCACTTCTGAAACCCACCTTACGGCTACCTACCTGTTGGCAGTGGCTTTGCTGACAAACACACCACATTTTGACCTTACAAAGTGAGTCAATCTGAAGCCTGTGTGTTGCATCTGCATTCAACATGTGTCTTCAATGATGGGTGCAAAAAAACTATGCAGACTCTCTGCGTACTGTGTAATTTTAATCCTCAGAGCATAGAACACGGGATATACTGATGTCTGCAGAGAAGTCCATCGGGGTATTGGGGAAGAAATACTCCCCTGAGCTCTCTTTCAAACCTTTAAAAACCCTGCCCTCTACCATCAGCCTATTCTTGCTTGGATTAGTCAAGAAGTAAGAGGCCCACAAATCCCATCCTACAAGAACAATTTGCATGGTAATTCTGCTCAGCAACTTCATTTTTTATTTCCCTCTTACCTGCTGCTGGTTTTCCCTTTGAGAATGCAGCCTGGCTTGTATGCATTCCCTGGTCTCCTGGAAAGCCTGTCTTTGGGACACCTCTGCTGGGTAATGGGTACACACGCCTACAATGTTTGTACAGGAGAAGATGAGAACATTGGAGACCAGCTGCAACAAAAGAAAAAAAAGAAAAAAAGAGAAAAATACTTGGTTACACTTTGGAAACCTGCCATCAGTAACAAAGCACCACCCAGAACCCCCTTCCACGACTCCTTAATCCAAGTCATGCTTAAGCCTCAAGCTCTCAATTCCAGCGTATTTTACCTCTCTAGTCTTTAAAATAGAAAACTTCCTTATATGGCCTCAAATATATGTTCTTAACACTGTGCATTACTTCACTGGTAAAAAATACAATTCCACTGGTAATTTTGTAATCTTGCTTTTGGTAATCCAGTATCTTGGAACTACTGTGACAAAAATCTATCTAAAAATGCATCATTGCTCTGTCAGCTAAGAGTCAGCTAGACTCACGCAGCCAGATCTGACAGAGGAACACAAATATTTCCATGTTTGTGTACCTACATATCTGGCTTGAAAACACATCAAAGATACATTAAACCATTATTTTGAAATAGTGCTTAAAATATTGAAGGGAAAATGTTGGTATTCACAAGGTTTAAGAGCAACTGAAGTATTCTTTTTAGTCTAGTTCCAACACGAAATTTTATGTTACTAGATAAAAAAAAAATACATTTTTTTTACATTTCTGTGAACATGACTACAGAAAGAGTTGTTAAGTCTGAAGCATATTTGGACTGGACAAGCACAAAGTAAAAGCTACATCGCTCTTTTGCTTCCATGTGGTTTGTGTTTTGTAAGGAAGCAGTCATAACTTTTGCTGAAAACTAGTGTTGCAATCTTTTATTTCCCAACTAATTTTTAATAAAAAGGAAAAAAAAAATCCATGCTTATTGGTGACATTTGGTTCATACAAAATGTTCAAAACTGCTTCTGATGGTATCATGTAAACATTTCCCTTGACAGAGGTCAGACACAGTATAACTTTTTGAGAGTTGCACAAGCTGCAGTGCATCTCCTTTTGAGGACAGACTTATTTGAAACACCTCTCATCTTTTCTAAGGGGAAAGACTGTCAGACCTGCAAGACTCTTAAAAATAAGGATCTTTGATCTATTCCGTAATGACTCCAAATATACCCTTTGCCTTTATTACTTTTTTACTGCAGAGTAAAAGTAATTTCCAGACCAGCCCATTCCCTGAAAATACGGGGCCAGGCTCTGAAGGGCAGGAGGGGTGGAAGACACCCGTCAAGCCCCGAGCTCACAGAGGGTGCTCAGGATCCCCCAAACCAATTTGGTCACTGTGCAGGAGAGAGGAGCCGCCCCTGTGTCAAACGTAGACCCACATTTTACAGAGTAACAACCTCTCCAAGAAACCCCACTGGGATTACGCAAACTCTTAGACTACATCCATGTGCTAATGACAGCAACAATTAATTACCAATTCTGCCTTGAAACAGGATTTAGCCAGAAAAACCTCATCTTTCAGCTCAAAACAAGCAATACCTTAAGCTACGATCACATGAGGGATCTCTGTGGAGGGCTGCCAGTAGATGGCAACACTCCAACTTCTCACACTCCTGCATCAAAGTGCTGCATTTTGGGCTATGGCCCCACAGTGAATTCTCACCCTTACGTATCATACTACAATACAATAACCTGCAGACTATAGATACCCACTGTTGATTATCATCAATGCCAGCTACATGTATTTGCAGATAACTGGTTTCCAAGGAGGAAACTATTCTCATCCCCTATAGATTGCTGCCTCCATCCAAAGAGTTCACATTTCGAACAGAGACAGGGCTATCGAAGGTGCAGGTCATACACATGACCATCAAATAAGCCCTGGCTTGATCCTGCCAGATTCAAGATGCTCCATCTCTCCCCAGATCTGATCAGATACCAGCCAACTTCCACCCAGATCCTGCCCAACAACCCTAACCCAGTGTTGCATCCAATAGGTGTTTGATGGTATTTTTTGCTGATAATGATAATTTTTAAGGATGAAAAATCCCCTCATAGTATAAAAAAACCACTAGTGTTTATTATAATGAAGAAACATCTTAAAAAGAGAGCAGAAATAGAGTTTTCCTAGGAGTTACTCTGATTCCTGCTCCCCGGCTGCACTGACTGCAACTCACAGGCTGTGAACACCACTTCTACAAGTTCAATATGGTTACAATAGGCCCAAAGGGGTTAACACTAAATAGCATCTTTTGCATGGCTGGATTACAGCAAGACTCCCAAATCCTTTCTATTGGAGCCATTCAGCTGCGTGGTAAGTGGAAAATTTTTCAGGGCACATAAAAGAGCATAAGCATGCATCATATATCACAGAGGATTTTAAGGAAATACGCAGTTTTATTTTTAAATCCAGGGAATCTGAGACTTCATTTCACTTACAGTCAATAGCGCAAACCCAAAACAAACTCCCCAAAACGGTGACTCAAGTCTTCCACAAAGAACAGGAGACAACATGTGGTTTAGATGGTAGGCAATGTATCAGGAGTTAACCGAGCAGGGAAAAGGAACACCTCAGTCCTGAAAACAAGATGGTTTGGGGTATATCTCAGTGCCAAAAAAAAGTGTCCCCAGTGGGCCTACCCATAAAGATACCATTGTCGCGATGATGCCTTAAATAATCAAGCTGTAAAGTTCAAGGCACGTGATTCATACTATGCATCAAGACCAACATTGTCAAAGGGGAGTACAAAAAACATGATCAGACTTGACATTATTGATAACGTTTGTGGAATGCAAAGCAATTTAACTTTTCAGCACTCACTGAAATCATTTTAGACAAACCCAAGGGACTTCACAGACTGATTTACAAGACAGACTCAGATGACCATGCTTCATCAAGTAGGAATAAAAACTATATTGCAACGTAATTTTTAAGTAGCAGGGGACAGACATCTGTATTTATTCTGCTAAGTAGAAGCTCATTTAATTCACAGTATGGCATCTTTGCAACACCCTGAAACACAAGGGGAGAAATTACAGTGTAATGTTGAAAGTATCAAAGATCTGCAGAGATTTAAACCTCAGCTCCTACTATGTGCCTATTTGCAGCAACACTTGTTATGTGAGCACGAGCATTTTGTTCAATATCTGTTCGCAATCATTTTCTTCACAGGTGTTTTAAAATATATGAAAGAAAAACAAAGAAAAGAAGAATGCTTTCTAATCTCATTAATTTTTTCACAGTTCTCTGTCTTAATAAAATAAATTTATATCCTGTGTGCCAAATGGTCCTACTTGCTTATCAGCTTTCTTGCCATTTTGCTATGGTAACCAGCTTCAGTCCCAGGAGGAAAGATAGATATGTAGATATTAAAAAACTGATTCCCTAAGCTTCATGGCCTGAAAAGTAAAAACATATTATGGCAACTATTTCAGACAATCTGTGCTTGAAGAGCTGTTCAGGGCAATGGGAAAATATAGTTGCCTATTTTGTAGTTGATTTCCTTCCCCTGCCTAGCTAGAGATTTAGACTAAGAAGATTCCTACCCTTTTGATTTTGGAAACTAATAGTTTATAAAAGACTATTTCACTTACATATAACTCCTAGATAAGCTATTAAACCTTCTTGCAGTATTGCCATATTTGAGTATTTCATAAACTAATAACATTTACTCTTAAAGTATCTCTATGTGGCAGAGAAATGCTATTATCCTGATGTTATGGAAGCAGAGTTCTTTGCAGGTAATTCAGTACTGAAGAAAAAGCTCTGTACTATGAGGGGTTTTCAGAAACCACCGTGCCTTCTTAGTGCCACTGAAACAATAGATCACTCAATCTCAAACAAAACAGACCAGACAGTTTCAAGTCACTTTGATTTCATCGCACAAACAGAGCACAGCAATGCTTTTGTTGAATCTCTTGCAGGAAACGGTTTTCAATATTTTTTCCCTTGGTGACTAAAGGAAAAAGAGAGATGGAAACAGTTTAGTTCCACGTGTTCTAGGAGTTACGAAAACCTGGTATTACAAAATCAAAATCGAAAGCTAAATTTGGCCTGACACTATTGTTACAAAATTGATGTTTTGGACATTTCAGGCCAGGCTGAGGAAGAACCGGGATGGCTCAGTGACCGGAGGAGAGGTTCCAGAACACCACAAACAGAAAAAGTATCAGCTTGCATCAATATTGCCATACTTCTCCCCACTGTGTTTCTATTTGATTATTCTTCAAACACCAGATGCTATTCAATATGTAATTAAGAGACAACAACATGCTTAAGAGGGAAAGTGCGGAGATAAATTTTGTTAGTTCCCTACCTCTGCCAGAGCAAACAAGGCTGGCTACTGACACGAGAAGGTGGGCCATATTCCTCGGAATATGACCGTTTATTATAAAAATCACAGCTTCTGTTTTTTTGCCAAGTTACTCTGTTTTGGTCCACTTCTTTTGCAGAGGCTCAGAGTTATTTCTATTCTGAGATCATCGCACCGGGCTATTCCCTGTTAGTTTCCAACAACACTAAGCGGTATTTTGTTCTGCTATTTATTTTTCATTTAAAACAAAATACTGTTTTGACATTTTCATAAAGTCCTATTTTGAAAACAACTACATTTTAAGCTTTTACTGTGGGGCGGTAAAACTGTCACAAGGAGAAGGAAAGCACATACATGGCGATTAAAAAGTTATGCAAAACAATCTAGAGCAAACAACAAACTACGTATTCCTTCTTTCCATCGTGTGACACTGCTCTGCCGTGGCTTTCAAGCTCTCATGATACTCATCCAGTAGCAAAATTTTTCTTATATTGATTATCAGTGCAACAGCTAGGTTAAAAGCAGAAAACAACTAAGTTTCTAAGACTACATTTCATAGTGGTTGTACACTGAATTGACAAATCGGTCCAAGCATTAATTGCAGGGCAGACACTGAAATTATCTTTACTTTTGAGAGTTCCTTTTTTTAACCATGAAAAAATGTTATAAAATCTTTAATACTTACCTGAAACAATGTAAGAACAAAAATATGATGGACTACAAAAGCTCTCACTATGCAAGATATTTCTACAGCACCTATGCATGCAATCCTGAATTGGAAGCATGGATAAATTTGAAAGATAAAAAGC